TCTCTAAGCTGCAGGTTCAAACCCCAGCCGAGTTATACCAAACACTCAAAACAATGGTAGTAGCAGCTCTCTCATCTGGTACTCAGCATTATGAGGTTACTGTTAGGGCTGGAAGGCCTGATATCAGGATGATGTGACTGGGTGGGGCATGATGACCCATTGCTAGACATCACTATAAACTGCGATACTTCAGATATCAAAGTGATATGACTGGAAAATTGTTAAAGTTATGTTAAAAATGCAAATCACACTTTATTTAGACATAACCATTTATGGTACAAGTTTTAGACATAATGTGCTTTAAGCTATACATAACTAGACAGGGTACAAGCTCTGACCATTACGGATCACTGCCATCTCACCTCTGTCTGCGTGAGTTCAAGTCCAGACTCGGCTAATGTGGGTAAGTAAAAAAGCCTGTCAGTAGCTTCTTGTGGGTCGGTGGTTCTTCACTGGGTTTTCCAGGGTTCTTCCTCCAACATTAATACTGGCCGCCATATATAGCCTATCTTTTGCTGAAAAATGGCATTAAACCCTACAACAACTAAATAGGGTACAAATTTTAGCCAGTCGATTTTAATTACAGTCCAAAACATACGCTACTATCTTGCATAGGCTTTTCGATATACAATCCAACACACACTGTACTATCAGCACCCGCATTTTTAGTTAGACATAACTAAATTTGGTAAAATTTTAGCCATATTGTACTTTCAGCTAGACATAGCTAAATAAGGTAGAAATTTCAGCCATCTCATACTTTAAGCTAGACATTACTAAATTTGGTAAAATTTTAGCCATATTATGCTTTCAGCTAGACATAACTAAATAAGGTAGAAATTTTAGCCATAGCATGCTTTAAGTAAGATATAACTAAATTTGGTAAAATTTTAGCCATATTGCGCTTTCAGCTAGACATAACTAAATAAGGAAGAAATTTCAGCCATCTCATGCTTTAAGCTAGACATAACTGAATAGGATACATATTATGGCCACATCGCACTTTAAGGTACAAATAATTAGACAACACTGTGCTTTAAGCTAGACATAACTACATAGGATATAAGTTTTAAGCTAGACATAACTAAAAAGGCTACAAGTTTCAGCAATATTTTGCTTTTATTTAGTCAGATACAAGTTTCAAAGTGCCCTGACAATAAAATTTTTGTGTTTTACAAGCTGACAAAATGAAGAGAAATAAATATTTCTTCTCCAATTGGAATTATCTGAATATATCTACATGAAACAATTATCAATACAAATAATCAATATCAGCATTACATCCTGGATCTATAACTTCTCTGCAAGAAAAAAATAAACTAACCTTGCCATAAAGAGAAATAGTGGCTACTGCAAATACAAAATATAGCAAACTTAGCTTATATGGAGAATTAATGTATAATTGCACAGAAAATAATTTTTATATGCAGGTTCCAGGATTTTGATTAAATAAACTCACAAGCCATGGCTGAAATTCCACTAGCCTGGAATTCAATTTCCACATGCCCAAAATATCTCCCTTTTTAATATTGCAACACAATGTTGTCATAGCTACAATTTATATATAGATTCAATTGGATTTAAATAGGGAGTTTCATGGTAATGTAAGTGTCATTAGTGTTCCTCACCACACTCACTAGAGACTGGATGGTTATGATGATCAAACTTCTCTGCTGGATTTTGTGAGTAAATCATTGTCATAACCAATTTGACATGTCGATGCATTGTGTTTTTGAGATTACTGAAAATTATGTTTTCTTGAAACATGACAGAGTTAGGAGGTTTGGAAGTACAAATTTTTAGTATGACAAGCCATGCAACTATTTGTTAAAATTGGATCTCAATTTCATGTAGTCACATGGTGATCTGATTCAGATCATGATGTCAGGCATGTCAACATCTTAAAAATACATCATTTTACACATTTCATTAGCAAGATCAAAGTTTCCGCCGGCAAATTAACATTTTTTAAAACAAATCCAACTTGCACATCACTTTGAATACAGGACGGGCCTGATATAAAATTAGAGGGTCTCCTGGGCATTGGGCTATTGGATAGTTTGAGCACTGAGTATATATATATATATATATATATATATATATATATATATATATATATATATATATATATATATATATATATATATATATATATATAGCTGTGACATCAGTTTTGTAGCCTGATGTGTTTTGGAGGGGTAATTTTATTTTGTTGATATCACATGATCATGATAACATGTAACTGATGACACAGTTTTCTGAAGTTCTCTTGACAGTTGTCATGCTTTGTACAAGTAAAGAAAATGCTTCCTGCTTGTCTAAATACCATGAATATGCACATCAAGCATAAAAATGACCAGATATCATCAAATTACCTAAGACATTTTGTACTCATTCAAAATACTGTTTTTTATGGATAATGTCAAAGAATTAAAACTTTTGATAAAACTTTTCTGTTGTTTAATGTCTAATTTATAAAATCAGGTGACTTCTTACCTCTGTCCGCTTTGCATTTTGTTTTCCCTACTAAAACCCTTTTATAAAATAATATTCAATTTTGCTCTTGAATTTAAGGACATTTTTCCTTTCTCATTCTTTCTTTATTTCCAGTACTGAAGAAAAAAAACTTTGATAATACACTGAAATGAATATATATTTTTAAAAGAGAAATATCTATGTTTCAGTATTAATTTTGAAAACAAAACTATTAAACATTTATAAGCCTCTCATAAATGCATCACATGCATGATTTGGTAGAAAACAAGCAAGAAGCTTTAAAAAAAACATAACAAATACTAAGCAGAAGAAAATATTCATATTAAAATTATTTATTGTCATATTAATCATTGCTGCCATTTCTTTTTTCATCTCTATGATAGCTGCGAGTGGCACTGTGATTAACCGCTTCAAAAAAAGAATGTTATAAACAAGGAAAGCAAAACGTGACACTCAGACATAAACTGTCCTGGAACAATTATTTACAGACTTGAATAGTTTTTAAGTTTTGAATTTTGGTACAGGTATAATGATGAATTAAAGTGTAAATGAACTTTTAATAAAACGTACATTATATGCGATGTCTTCCGTGATTTATTTTTAATGGCCCCGAAACACAAATCTTTTATAAAGATTTAATTATTGCACCCGGAAGAGACTGTAAAACTGTTTATTTCCAATACAAAATGATATTGTTTAATATTGTAATGAATAATAAACACAAAATAATACAATGTGTCAAAGGAATATGGATGAGATAAACATGTCAGAACTTACCATCCGATCTTACTATCGTGCCGTTGGGACAGGGCATACATGTCAAATTGGATGGTACGAAATACATCCCAGTTGTAAGTTTGCATACGTCTACTCCCGTCTGTTTTATTGGTTCGTTGTATCGCAGTATCTGGGCTTGAACTGAAACTAAAATGCTCAAAAAGACTATCAGCGCTTTTTGTTCCGCCATTTCTGTTGATTCTGGAGACGGTTGGAATGCAAAAAGCTATCCGATTGGATGACTGGTTTTCCGATTGTATTGTTAAAATTTCTTTGCATCCACAGTAATACTTTTGATGGTATCATTCTATAACGCTGCGTTCGATTATATTGTTCACGAGTGTATTATGAAACCGGTAATAGTATTGATATTTATTGCTATAAATAATTCCATGATATATAGGCATAGTCACATTTGTATCAATCATATAAAAATCATATCACTTTAAAATACTATTTTTAAATTTATAAAAATGAATTGATATTCAACACTTTTCTTAGTTCAAGATATTAAAACAATTTTAAAATAATTAAGTTCTCAGAACAATGAAACGAAAATAATGCAGTAATGTTAAGGAGAAAGACTGTTACAGGGACTTCTCTAGGGTTGGTGTCATCTTATGCGGTAACTCATTGTGTCACCAAATGGACTTCCTTCCAGCCCAAAAATTAAAAAAGTGTAAAGACAGTTACGTGTGGTAACCCGTGGTGTCACCCCCCACCTTGACCTTCTTCCTGCACAAAAAATGAAAAAATTGTGATGACAGTCATTTTGGTGTTATCTCCTCTGGTGGTGTCATCCGATCTACTCTCCCTAGTGACGCCACTGCATTGGTAGAAAATATAAATTACTTTATTTTCTGCGAGATCGTAAATTAGTGGATTGCGAAAAATACTTGTTCGCTACGCTCAATAGTTATGGATAACTTAGATGAAGATCCACCTTTTGCCACTGGTTGATACAGTGGTAAACATGTCCCTGTGTCAAGCATGACTACCCGAATATAATCCCACCATGCGTGTGGGTTGATGTTGTTTTTTTTTTGGGGGGGGTATCCTTGAATTAAATATTTTACTTCTAATATTTTTGTAACAGTCACAAGACACACCTGACAGTATTGCGCGGGAGACTGGAAGAAACCTGCTACTGCAAACTTGTATTAATTTTTATAATTAGTCAAAACGTATGTACATAAAATAAAAAATAAAAAATAAAAACATTCCGAATTAATAACGGATATAATTTATCTCGTAGGTGAATAACTCAAGTATTTTCGTTCACTAGACGAAATATATCCATTATTATTCCTATCCAAAACAAATTATCTATGCGTCAATATCTCGAGTGGAGATATCGTTCGGAGGTGTGTGTGTGTGTGTGTGTGTGTGTGTGTGTGTGTGTGTGTGTGATTTGGACTTGTAATATAGCTTTAACAATTTGTTAGTCATATCAATACGATGTCTGCAGTGTGACAGTTTATACTGATGTCTAGCACTGAGGCATTGCCGAAGACTAGTCCCAAAATGTACGACGTATCACGTTATTTATGTTTTTTGGTGCTGTCACCCCTCAAACAAAATTGTCCGATGATGTATCTTAAGTTGTAACACTAGCAGCAGACATGTCGCGTGATGTCCCACCCATTCCCATTATCCTGAAACCAGGCCAACCATTCCTAATATTCATATTTTAATCCTGAGCTCCACGAGAGATAGCTGCTAGCCTTTGCTATAATCAGGCCTGGGTTTGAACCTGCGATCTCCCGCAACCGAGGCGGACTCTCTAACCAATTAGGCCATCGGAGCGGTCGTTCTTAAAAAAACATAATACAGGATTGCATTATAAAAAAAAAGAAATTCAATATGCAATTTTAGCCAGTTCAATGCAATATTATCGTACTTGTGCACAAGTGATAGTAATTAAAACAAGCCACTTTCCTCGATAATCTGCTTCAGAGCACATTAAAAAATGTCGCTAAGGAGTATCACTTGAATATATTCATATTGTGTTTTCCCGTGGAGAAAATTCTGCCAACTTATCTGAAAAATTCTTGATAACTGCTTGACGTGTTGTAACCAAAAATCAAATACACATGTTTCATACAGTTATTAGAGTCAGCGTGTTCTTTCACTGAAGCTTTAAAGGTATGAAATTGAGAAGCAGTTTGGGACAAGGCTGTTGAGTGATGCAAGCAGATTTTAGGGTTTGCTCTCAAAACGTACCCAAACCTGAACATACACAAGTCAAAATGTACCAAAGTCAAAACGTACCCAAATTAAGGCATGACCCACATTAGGTCTAAGTAATGACATAATTTTAGTGTATTGTATTTCTTGACTGTGACCAGTCTGATGAACAACGAAAATCGGCATAAATAATGGCACTGTCTTATCCAATAATCTGCTTCAGATCACATTAAGAAAATGTCGTTAAGGAGTATCACTTGAATATATTCATGTTGTGTTAACCCGTGGAGAAAAATTCTGCCAACTTATCTGAATCATTCTTGATGACTGCTTAATGTGTTTTAACCACGTTTCGTACAATTTTTAGTCAGTTTATGAAAATTAATTTCATTTTTTTATTCTGCATTAGAAACAGATCAGTTTATATCTGATGACTGAAATCTTTCTTTAAAATTCATTTAATTACAACAACCAAATATATAAAAACACAAATATTTTCCATCGTTCCTTTATTTTTGTTGAGTTCAATTTTTCCACTTAGCATTTTAATTTATTTCCATTCTGTTCCATTGTGTATTTACGTTATACCAGCTTGAATCATCAGCAATACTTGGTTAATGTGAAACAGGCTCGGCCCTATGATTTGCGGGACAGTAAGAAGAAGCAGTTGCCTCCGTCACCTTGCTCTAGACCCCGGCATGCTGTGACAGTAAACTGGTTATGGTAACAATAATGTTGAAAATACCAAGAATAGAAACACCATAACTTTTAAACTGGAATTATGTGTTTTCTTTTATAATATGTGAGTCAGTACTTGTTTTCAGTTTACTTGTCCGTATGCGGTACATTTAATTAGGGTAATAATTGCATTTTACAGGGCTTCCATGGAAACAAATGCAAGAGCATTTAATGCAATAAAATTGTCGGCTGTTAAACGCTTTTTTTAAAAAAAATTGTAATTAGCATCTCATATCTGCCGAACGTTACATTGGATTTGGGTCGTTTGCATGTGTTAAAGCGTTCAAGATCAGCTGATCTGATTAATCTAAAAGTGTGTAGGAATACACAGATTTTAATGCATTTAAATATTTAAAACTCCTTAAAATCATTAGTTTTTAACAAAAAGAAGTAAAGCATTATCGATGTAAGCTGTTATGACAAATGGAATGCAAGGGAAACAATTCCATAGCACAAAGTGTAAAAGCAGATGGCTTCCTAATGTGTGTTATGCGTCTTCTAAATAAATAATTTATACATCCGTTAAGTCAAGCCCCAAAACTCCTAATAATATGTTGGACGCTGATTTTTCCTAAAGTGATTCCTATCATTAAAATGTGTATGTCAACGTGGCTATGTTGTCGCATATACTCATCTAAAATTCAAGTTCTTGCTATTCTTATATTTTATTCTTATATACTTAAATCAAATTATGTTAAGTCCTAACTGTTGAATGCTATACACTTTAAATGTGATTTAAAACAACACAACAAAAATTTTTCAGACGAAAATTATTGGTCGCTAAGGACTGTCAATATGGCGGCTATGTACAACACTGGTGAAAGGAAAGAGAATATCAGGTCTAATCATTAAAACGACAGAGCAGGAAGCATCTGTATTCAACATGCATAGCTTTCATTGTGACATTACAGCGCGCGACATTCTGACAGCAGATATAAAAAAGCAGTCTAGGTCACTCCTTGACCTCGTCTAAGTGTATATGCACTTAAATATAGATTACGAAATAGAATTTATACATTGGTAAATGGGTGTGAGTGAGTAGTTTGCATTGGCCAGCTTAACACTGTAGATCGTCATCTATAATGATTTTCTTGCATTGGTTATTAAAATATAAACCGTAAACGAGGGAGGGGTATGTAGTTTCAACATAAGTGCATACTTTTTTTTTTAAACAAGAAAAAAATATGTATGATCCTATGTATGTCTGTTGATGTTGTCCAGAGCGCAACCGAGGCCATCGCCATATTGACCGGCAACAGTCGCGCGTAAATAATCGTTTGTTTTTATTTTTGTTTGTTTGTTTGTTGTTGTTTTAATATACCTATACCTGTAGAAATGTCTCCATTTTTGCCGCGTACGGCTGCTCAAACAAACAATGCTGAGATAAAATAAATCGTTATATAGACCAGACCCACCCTCCAGGTTATTTTGCAGCGGGATAAACGGACAAAGGAATTATCTAAAGCCTGGAGATAAAATTACCTACAAAGGGCTAATTACGACTCTGGATAAAATGTGAGTAAATTGCCATACGACGAGCCAACTACTGAGCCATTGTTACCGCAGTTATTCTAATTAAACAATGACTTTAGACGTGCGCTGGCAATATCTTTTTCATGTGAATTTGTGTGTGAACAAACATTATCATGCGCACACCCTTACTCCGGATAATTAAATTATCGGTTCACCAATTGGACCACGAAAAATCTGAAACTCTCAAACGCAAAAAAAAAAACGCACCTAGGATGAGAGAGAAAACGTCTAATGTCATTTGTGATTTGATAAAAAGAATTTGACATAACTTATAAAAAATTTTTTTTTTTGGTGGTTTCCTTTTTTATCACTTTTTCAGTTTCTAACACTTAAAGTTCTAATATTGGACTTTAGCAGCAGTGCAGTGACAAATTTTATTTTTGTCAATCCACGTGAGAAGTAAGAACCAATCATCTTGCAGGAAAGTCTAATTCGAGAACCCGACGAACTTTTCAATAGTGAGACGTGCCCTCCATTTTGCTTAAATAACATGCAACTATTCCCAAAGAAGTCAGATGAAGACGCTATAATACGTTGAAAGTATACAGGACTTTAAACAATTCTGTGAAAAGGAGACAAAAAGGTACGCAGCTATGATAGCATCTCGATATATTATTGTTTCTGCAGTCAATAATTCAGTGACTTGGAACACGCTTAAAAACTGACAAAGACGCGGTAGGCTAGCAGGGCGAATCAAAACGAAGATCCTGGTAAGAGTTTCCCTCGAGATTATACGTGATCTCAGAAAGTTTTTTTTATTGAAGGTATAATATTTGAAATTTTGAACAGCTGAAGTGTAGGACTGCCTCTACATTTTGCCAACAGTGATGCGGCAGTTCATCAGAAAGAGTGACTAGTGTTGTATTGCGGGGGTACGCATGCGCACGCAAGACGGTCTGATGAACCTCGTGGTTACATTTTGCGCCAGGACGGCGTACGGAAAAAGCGCATTCAGTAATTCTGTTCAAATCTCATATGAAACACACTAGCAACCAAGATATTCGAAATATGAATGAATCATAGGAATAATTAATTTAAAGACAATATTTATATATTTACCAAGTGAAAGCTTACGTGTCAAAATTAAGTCATCTTGAGTGTTATTAAAAACAACAAACCGACAAAAATAGTAAATTTTAAATTTTGTTTGATATACGATAAGCAGGAGACCTCAGTCAGCAATTTATAGAAAATATAAACGTGCCTGGTTATATGCATACAAGTGTTTACTCCTCCCTATTACCCTGTGAATATATCGTGACTAGTATCCGCACCCCCACCCCCACCATTTCTTTGTAACCTCCACCACCACTGATTTTAAGAGCGAAAAGCATAAAGGTTATATAAATGCACAAAAAGTGTTCATTCATCAGTTTACAATTTTCAGCTCGATTGTTTACAGGATATCCCTATTGTTGCTGGTGCCCCAAGTGGCTGAATAGTCTAAAACGGATCACTGCCATCTCTCACTTCTGTCTGCGTGGGTTCCAGTCTAAGATTCTGCGAATGTGGATATGTAAGAAAGCTTACCTGTAGCTTCTTGTAGGTCAGTGTTTTTTTTATCATGGATTTCCCAGTTTATTCCTCCACCATTAATATTGGCATTCATGTATGGCCTGTTGTGTGCTGAAACATTGTTAAACCTCAAATCAACAACAACAGCTTGTTGCTGGTTTCAAACCAAGTGGAATCACAATTTAACAAGCATAGCTGTAACAATTTTTCTGTCCTATTGCTTGTCATATCTCTACAATGCAGTTTCTGTTAAACTGATATGGAGCCCAAGAACTCCATAGTTCAATTTTATAGGGTCCTCACAAGATGTTAAATGGCCCCACTTCATAGTTTCTACATTAAGTAGAGAGAGAGAGAGGTCTTGCTAGAATTTTGGTGGAAACAAGATCCACCAGCAAAAAATGCAATACCCTCTCATAAACATGTTGGGTATACATGAAATGGATAAATATCCATGATACTGCCAGGAATAAAGAGACACAAACCCTTGTCAATTTTACTTATTTGTAATTCTTTAAATATTCATTTATTAAAATTGATATCCCATCAGTTGACTTGAGAACACATTACAGAAAGCCATTATTTAGAGTTATACTTCACTCCTTGACTGTAGAACCAAATGATCATGAATTTAATTTTACAATTTGCTATGAGCATTCATGTACTCCATCCTGAGTGCTGTATTTCAATACTCTCATGTTCTGAATTTGTTAAAGTTTGTAAAACTGTCTTGATTTGTCCTTTTTTTCCGATCAAATGGGTTTAAAATTTGCAAAGATCCATCTGCTCTAACATATGAATTTAATAAATCTGCGAAGATAAGTTCAAATTGA